GCTAAAGTTGTTCAACCATCAAAATTTTAACTACTGCTGTGGAACTCTACAGCTCGTCGTTATTTCTACAAAGATCATCACTGAATCCTCTTTTCAGTCAGATGAATCAATTTCACACTCTAGCTCTCTAACATCCTCCTGTCTATTCCTAGGTCTAGAAAGTAGTCTTTCTTCCCTCAGGGGTTTCGAACCTAAATTTTATGAGCGAGTCCTATATGAGATGAACTCACATAAGATACTATACAAACTTACTGAGCAGCTCCTACTAATTCAAAGTGCATTTTTTTTATCTCCACCGACTTGGAAATCTACAGAAGCATCAGCAGGTGAATATGGACAGAGAGCAGACGAAAAGCAAACACAAGAAGAATAGCACATTCTGGGTACAGCCAAAACGAACCCTTCATCCTACAAATGACTTAGGTCATTTAAAAACAACATATTTCTATCTCAACATTCACATCATACAGTAGAATTATAATTGGGTGTCCATGTCATTGCGCTGCCTCTGTGGTCTAGTGGTCAACGATCCTGGCTACAGATGCAGAGGTCCGGGTTCGATTCCCGTCGCTATCAGATTTTTTCGAAGTAGTGGGTCTGCAACGGGGTCCACTCAGCCTCGTGATGGTAACTGAGGAGCTATTTCAAGGAAACAGCGGCTCCGGTCTAGAAAACCGAAACTAACGGTTATCGGGATTTGTTGCGCTGACCACGCGACACCCTCTATCCGCAAAAAGTTGGCACTAAACTTCGCCGACTAGCGGCGGTCACTCGGTCGATATAATTCGCTTGCGGACGGAAAGCACGGAGTTTTTATTTGCTGTTTTTGTCCATGTCACTGTTTTCCTACTGGATATTTCACAATTTACATACTCAAAACCAATTAATTCAATGTGCTTGGAACTTTTTCTTTTAAGCTTCAACTTAAAGAGCTCCTCCAAAATGTCATACCTTTTGTAGTTGAAATTGTAACCTCTCCCAACATAATACCAACCTCAACTTACCACGGTGCATTCTGTTTCCAATAACAAGGCTCCCTACATTGCACTACAGCAGTATAACCATACTGATAGAGGAAATACTGGTACAAGGTCTGTCATGATAAAGGCAGTAATCCAACTACTGGATTACATACTATAAGGCCTGACACTGGGAAAGAGAAATTATTTTCAGGCCTAGTAATAAGAGAAGTCAGTTAAACAAAAACAAACTGCCATATCATAATACAGAAAATGTGGGCCCATAAATGTGGTATCCAACACACAGAAGAATGGGTGAACAAGATAAATAATGACACTATCATAAATCATGTATGGAATACTGCAGTACAAACAGATATTTTTTTCCTGAAGCAAGAGAAGGGAAAACATTAGGCAATAATATGGTATACAACAGTGAAAAGAATGGATGAACAGTCCTAGATAGGCCCTTTATTATACAGACTACTAGAAAAGCAACAGGCATGTATCACAAATAGATAAGAACCCCTGACAGACTTCAACCTCACTGAACTTCTTGTACTCTGTAGACAACAGACCACCAGAATGGATGGAAGGGGAATATTATGATGACTAAGACAGTATATCACTTCAGATGCCAGAAATATTCCATACAAAGAAATATACAAACTAATTTGGGTGTCTATGTTTAGTCCCTTAGGATTTCTAAACGTTGCATTAATTACATGAGGATAATTGGTATTTTTCCAGTCACATATTTCAAAGAAAAGTCCTGATACTGACACGTAAATTCATATTAGGTTCATCCCAAGAACCAAGGACATGTGTGCAGCTATATAATGAACACAATTCCCAATTCCTGAAGGACCACGGCACTAGATGGAGTTGAGTGGTCTGCTTTACACTTCAGCTGCTTTATTCCAAATATCATATGGTTAGGAAGCTATATGGTCCCCAAAACCAGTTCAGACATAACAGCAGTGAATGGATAAATCCCTGCTACTCTTGGGAATTTAATCCTAACCCTCCACCCAATAGGCTCACTGACTGAGCTACCCCAGTTCATAACAGTCCTACTAAAAGATATGTGCACTACTGGAATAAGGTACTAGTAACAGTCATCACATCAAAATATTCCTTTTGACTGATATTAAATCTTTTAACATGTTATGCTCTGTACTTTACATAGATCTACAACCATACAAAATTTCAGAACATGAATGGCATTTATGTTACCATTTCATATTGTCATGTGTCTGTGATTAGACAAGGTTTTTGGATTGATAATTGGATTTACTGAACGCTTATAGCTTGTAACTACAAATAACTCAAAACAGTCTCACTGATTTATACGCTCTAAATCACAACTATGGCACACATATACCCTTCTGGCTGTTAACTAGCTGTTGCTTAGTAACGACATATAACAACAACTTCAGGCACTCTTGCTAACCGCAGACTCTGACCTCCGTCTTATGACTCACGAGTTACTTTACAACTGGTGGTTTACCACCAATGAGTTTGTCTTGCCAACAAGCTCTCACTCACAACCATTAATTTTATTTTCCAACTGAACACTTGCAGTTATAGTCCTTATGTAACATCCTCTCTGACAAGAGGATGGGTCTGTCATTTACAATTGCTGCTGGTCCTCGCCAGGGCAGTCACTCTCAGGTCCGAGTCCTGTGGGACTCATGACCACATTTTACGGTCCCAGATTCGAGACTCCCCCAACCTTGAGGGTCAGGTCCCTGTATTTATATCCCCTAGGAAGAGGGTAGCCCACTTATACCCCCAGCATTCCTATGACTTGCAGGGCTATTCTGGAGGTATTTGACACTGCCTCCACACAGGATGCTGACTCATGACACAACTACCTGGTATCCTCATTCTATAACCTCGGCACGGACTGCATAAGAAATGCAGCATCTAAGAATTCCTCTTCTGGTGTCTAGGGATAGCCCATGTATTGTTGACACCGAAGCGTGTTTCAGCTGCCGTGGGAACGCGTTTACAGGCATAGCAATTGACTATTTATCTTGTTAAACTACTCCAGTTTCCAGCCATCATGCCACAATATGTTTGACTGCCATATCAGTATTACTTATGACAGTGATTTAAATACTGCCAAGCTGGGAGGTCTTTTGAGGCATAAATGTGTATAAATTAACTGACCTTTCTGAAACTATGCATACATATTCCAGTGACTGTAATTCTTAGCCTTTTACATTATGTAGGAGTGCCATCATTTTATTGACAGAATTTCTAATGAAACAAGGGTAAATATTTTTATTTAACTTTAACTTGTGTTGTACATTAATATAACTTGGTATAGCATCCAGACTGACTCTGGGGCTCAACCTGCCTCCTGTTCACTGGGAACCAGAAACTCATCCCGCCATGGGTAAAGTTGCTAAGTCATAAAGCTGACCACTCACCTCTTATCTAGTGCAGAGATTAATATTATATGGGTGTATACCTCCACTCCCCCATGTCTTCATAGACCGATTAAGCATAAGTACAACAATTAATGATACATCTAAGACCATAAATTCACTATGTTAAATTTTGTGCTGTTACTATGGTTTGTAATATAAACAATTCTGCAAAATGTTGCAAGTATATTGGGACAGGTCTTCATAAACAGTCATTCCACATGCCCTGCCCAAATAGTTTAGTGAACTCCATCACGCCACACACTACAATAAGATTTTACATGGCCCTAATGTAATTGTTTCAAATTCTTTAGAAACAAAAAAAAACATAAATGTAACAAAAGCTAAACATTCTTTCAAAGACCATTATCTTTCAAAATACATGGGCCCTATATTTAGTGGTGCTATTCTTTCTTCCAATCCTATCTCCACAAAACTGCCAGGTTCACTGATGACTGATAGCAGGAAATTACTAAGAGCAAAAGTGTAGGGGCCTCTAGTGGCATAATGTTCATTATGTTCAAAGAAAATCCATCAACTGATTCAATGGCTATTAGAGGAGGGCAACAGTTACAGACGTGGGCAGACACATACACAGTGACATTATGATACTATAGCTAATCCTTCCCTACAAATCTGCACAGAGTGGCCCCAACATGCAGCATCCACTGAGAGTGGGGTTAGTCAACTCATATCAGTGTCAAGGAGCACTATCAGCAAAACAGTCCTGATCATCTGGCAGAGTCAGCCATGGCTGGCCACAGCATCAACCACTCCTATGCTCAACTGTTACCATTATGGTATAAGTGATTGCAGAGACAATGATATTTACAATTCTGGAGATTTAATCTGTCAAAACTAGTTATTTAGTGACAATGTACACAACTTAATGAATCAGACTGAAATACCAGTCATACATTTGTGGCATGCCCTATACCAAGTGTACACCGATCTAGAGCATGTACAGCACAAGAAGACCAAGAAAAATATGATGATGAGGAGGAGGAGGACAACAACGGATCTTTGACAAATCATATTCCAGCACATACAAATTAGTCACATTTAATGCATAAACATTTAGACATACCCTCAGAAAATACAGGATGAATACTTATGCACTACAACGTGTTTCTTTTAAAAGAAATGCCCGAGCCTTACTATAACAGTATTAACTATAGTAACCACACAAAAGTATATTTTCTAACTTTGATGAAATTCTACTTTGCAGAGGCACTTGATGGAACAAATTTTCAACCCCCTACCACCATTATATGTTCATGTTCGAAAACGTAACTCAAAACCTAACCTTTGGTTTGCATTATTTAAATAAACGAAAAGCTTAACATTAGAAGCGGGGGGCGAAACATCTGTCAGTGTCTCCTAAGCGCCACCACATACAATTTCACTATCAATTCTTCCAGCAAACCGTCTGCAATAAATATATTTCCTGAATAACAAAACGCAAAATGTTTACCTGTTCGACAGCTATAAATTATCTAGAAATCGATCTGTTGATTGTTTAGTCTTAAAGATTTTTAATGCATTGCACTTGAGGAGAACATACAAAAATAAAATTTAGCACTGAAAAATATTTAGGGATACTCACCCTTTCTAACTTTTGGAAGTACTCTCTCAGGAATGAAATTGGATTCTCAGGTCTGCTCACACACAGCTGCACAATACAATCTTTCAAAACTTGTTGAATATTATGTCTCTGAACATAAGCTTCGCACTCACGCAGGCTCTGTTCTTCATCCAAATTTGCAGCCATATTTACTGTTTTAGGTATGTACCTTGGCTGACCTAAATTTATTTCTTATATGTATATTCACGTTCCTACAGCGTACAGTAAATTGCTTGCCCTAGTTCCACCTGTTTCAGGTGTCTTCTTACTTCTGGAAATTCACAAATGAGAACTCTTTTCACCTGCAAAATAGCGTCCGATAACATATGATCAAGGCAGCAGTGGTATCATTTATTTCAAAGATTATTCTCTATATTCGATGGTTGGATGTCGATTGCAGAATAACATCTTTGATTCTTTGCCAGGGAAAGTGAGGTTTTAGGTTTCGTTTAGCGTCTTTTCGACCTCAGTATATTGTATATTGATTTACTTCTTTCATCACTACAAATTCCCCAGTATGAGATTTGAAGTTCTTACGACGGTAACTTCTGGTGTGTGACGTCATGCAGTGCTAAAAGCTTCTACCAGACCACACGGCGGCTGCAACAAGAAGGTACGAGTTTTCTCCAAGAATAAACAAAATTCTTTGAAACACAAATACTTGGCCCCAAAAGTCTCCAGATTTTGGTATTAGGATCATTGGAATATTCTGGTTGTGACTGTAATTTGTGAAATTTGATCCCAAAGATGGGGGCAGAATATTCTTCCAAAACATTGGTGCCCACTTAAAATATACACAAAAGCCCAAACCCCAAAACCATAATAGTTTGAGAGTTCATTCATTCATATGTATTCGTTCTATAAATCCATACCAGGTCAAAGGCCTACAGATACAGAACAAGTCAATAAACATTCTTAGCAGGACAAGACAAACACAAGTCAATAATATATATTATTGTGACAAACAGGTCTTTACTGAAAAACGCAGTGCATTCCTCCACTAATATAATGACTCCTTGTCCTGTAGTAAAAAGAGATTTTCCTAAGAGTGGCCACACATGCCCCTTGCCCCAAATTTTTCCTGTGTAATCTCAAGCGTGAGGATATGCTGCAGCATTTATGAGGATGCAATCACATACATAACCATGATATACTGTCTGCTACTTGGATTGAAGGAAACCTATCAGACTTACGAACATACAAGCAAAATGATGAGTAAAAGATGTGTGGCTGACATAAGCAACAAACCCAAAGCAACTGAGCATTAAATACTATGGACATAATAGACACACAAAGTAGTACAAATTCAGTACAATGAAAACCTGCATATGTATGATCTGTACAGAAAAGATGATAATCATCTGGTAGTGCCCGTTAGTGTCAAATATAAGGCATTTATTTCATCTAGCCTGCCCACCTTACAATCACCATGATAAAACGCGTTTCTGGTGTGTTCTGATGCCCCTAAAAGCTATGCCAGATCTCTGGACATTACACCCTGCGACTTTTTACAGGTGGGGGGTGTATGTCAAAGAACATGTTTTTGTGCCACCATTAGTGACTAAACTGGATGACCTCAAAAATAGAATAATGGCAGTGGTGACTTCAGTGGAAGAAGACACTTTGAGAGGTGTTTGGGATGAATTCAGCTGTGGTCTCAATTTGTCCGTGCAGCAGGTGGAGGGCACATAGAGAATTTATAAAAAAGTTAACAAAACTTAGTAACTTGTTAGACCGTTTGTGACCTTTCCTGTAATTGTAGCATGTTGCCATCATGAAATATACTGCTCTGAAATTGGGTCCATCACTTTGAAAAACGGTGTAATTCACCATGAACAGCATGCACACCAAAAACAAAAGGAACAAGCCGTTAATTTCAAACATATTTTTATTCTCATAAGTGTAAAATATCAGTACATACCCTTTCAACCTATAATTCTAACTTCAGAGGCACTGAAGAACATCCATCTTAATTCATATTTCACAGCACATCAGATGGAAACACTGATACCTGCAATTCAAGGCAACCTTAGGATGTTTCTGCATGAATAGTCAAAATTGTTTACAACATTGTCACTTATAATAAATAATTACAGACATAATATCTATCTATTCAATGCCACAGAACAGAAATCATCTGTTTAAAGTGTAGGATTTACATAGTTACTTTCTATAAACGAGTATCATCTCATAACCTGCTGCAAACTGCTCGACCACTCAGGCAGGATGCACACTTGTGTCAATCCTGCCACATTCAAACTAGCACAAGATACAAAAGATGATGAATCAAAGCATACAAATAATCCAATCTGCTCAACAAACAAACCAAACTATATGTAAATTTTAATACAGACTAATGGATTATTCAGACAAAACCTGCCCAAAAATAAGGTTTTATTGTGATCTGTTCTCTAGACAATGAACAACATTTATATAATGCATACAGGAATGCTGTTTTGCAAACCAAAGCACAATTAAAATGTTACAACATGAAAGACCCATTTAAATATAATATGGTACACCACAGTAATTTTAAAAATATTAAAGGATTTCACACTGAACGAGAAGACATGCAGCCAGTGTTACAAAAATTTCTTAACGCTTAGTGAGACTATTTTGCTACTGACTAAAATCACTTTACAACTCACTTACATCTTTAATGCAACTTCGTTTACAATTACTCCTTAATTTAAAATATTATTAAAATTGAACTGCTGCATGTTTCGATCATTATTGGCCATCCTCAGGCAACTGTTCACTTGTTGAAATTGCTACACTACATTAGTTCTTAAGTTAAAATATTCTAATGTTATTCCATGTTCATCGTTCACTCATTAAAATACATTTGCTTGAGAATATCACACTTTTATCTTCTCATGTGCTACCTTCTTCTTCAGGCATCCATGTTTTCTGTAATGTGTAATATATGTTCATGATTTTTGTTACTGTTAAGTTTTTCAAATTTTGAATTTTGGTGGTGGTTATTACTGTTATTTTTATCTGGAATATACAGAGATGTATTATATGTTATTTGCTATGTTTCTGTATGTTATTTTATTCTTATACTTACGTGCCCCATTAGTTTGTATGTTGTATTTTTTGGTAGTATTTGGTTGGGTTGTTGTTAATCATTGTGAATAGATTATCCTGTATAAAGTTATTTATTTTGTGTTTGTATTCCTCGTGTCCCGGTCACGGTAGCCAAGCGATCTAAGGCATGTACTATCTTCGCTCGCTTGGAAACTGGGATCGTAGGTTCAGATCCCACTCAGAGCATGGATGTTTAGTTTGTGTGTGTCTGTGTACAGGTAGAGGCCTTGTGACGAGCTGATCACCCGCCCAAGGAGTCCTACCGAATGTGTAAGATCTAGAAAAACCAAAGTGAACAGAGAAGTTCATGAAGGAAGGCCTAGGCCCACTGGGGCTATAGTGCCAAGGAAAAAAAAAATCCTCTTGTGTAAGTATTACTAGTCTTTTTCCATTTTCTGCTTTTGTTATTATAAGTTGGTTCATTATCATTTTGTTTTTTATGTTTGTCATTAATTTGCATTCTTCTTTATTCCTACTATTTGTTGTATTAGCTTTGTTGCTAATATTTTTTATGTTTATCACAACCATGTGTCTGTAATAATTTTGTTCTCTTACACCATGTTTGCTTATTGATGCCTCAGCTTAAAAGGCCAGTGTTTCAATCCATTTTTATGTTTTGTGTGTAAATTATATTTTAAACCTTTACTTATCAATTGTGTTTCTCCATGTAAACTGTATGTTTGTATAATTTTCTACTCTGTTATAATTTATGTTATTGTGTTTGTTGCTTGAGATTTACTTAAGTTTTTAAGTTTAAAATGACTAGACTAAGTAACATGCTGACACACTCAGACAAACAGAAGTTATCGACTATAAGTACAGTGACATACCAATCATACCACCCCAGTCAAGGAACTAACATGTTCATATGAGCTTGCATTTTATAAGAATTTTGTTCATGTGGAGTTATATCTACAACAGGTAAAAGTTTTGAAGTATTGTTTATTATGTACACTGTAGAGCTTACTGCCTGATGAGTAAAGGGAAAGGCTGCCTCTTGTCATAATTCTTGTATCTAGAATCAGATACAGTAAACTCTACATGAAATAGGATTCCAACTAACCTGAACATTTTTGTTTCAGACAGGTATCTAACATAGATAATCACTTCTTGGTAAGAAACATTATACAATACATAACTCCATGTGTTCATAATCCAAATCACATACATGTACACTGCACTGTTACTGAAAAGTACACATTTTGTTGTCTTTTTTTCATCCTTCCTTGCATCCTTTCCTCCTTCCTTCCTTTGTTTCCCTTTCCATCATCTACCCTTCCCTATTTTTCTTTTTCTTTTTTCTTCTTTCTTGCCTTCCTATCTACAACAGGAATGTTCCATCACATATAAATTTCAGGAAGCAAAGTATGGAATATAGAGTATATGAACAGAAAACAATACATAATCAAGCAGACCATGTTATATTAAATTACTGCTTTTAATTTCCACTAATTGGAGATGTGTTTTCTCTCTGTATTCTCAAGACAAGAAATGCTCATATAAAGGCTGGTTTCCATTTATTTCAAGCTCTATTTCATGAAAATTTTACTCTACAGAGATGGAGACCTCCTAAGTACCAATCTGTGAGTCAAACTCTTAGCACACTGAGAATGAAAGTTCTAGAACAGCCTATACCTCAGATAATTCACCATATCTGGTGTAAACGTTGAACTGGTAGAAATGCAAAGATTATCTTTTGAACTACTGACAATTACTACAACTTTTCTACATCGTGAGAAGTGCAATGAAACAGCTTCCTAATTGGACATGATCATATACAGAAATTATTATTTTGAAGCTCACTGGGGTTGCTGTACCGTGAGGACTTTGGGTTATGTGGACCATAAGTGTAGTCACCCTACCCCCTGCATTATTATGGGTTGGTCAGACATGAATGTGTCTAATGACTGTTATGTACACATTGTGTGTCAAATCACAGAAAGAGCAATTAAAATTATGTCTTAATATTTGTGCTTCATTACCTATAAAGAATACAAAAATAAAAATCCATGGCCTGTAGTCCAAAAGTGAACTATACTGACCGAGCAACTACCGCTTGTCAATGTAGTGCCAACTTTTGTGGATAGGGGTGTCATGTGGTCAGTGCAACGGCTCCCAATGGTCGTTAATCTCAGTTTTCTAGACTTGAGCCGCTATTTCCTTCAAATAGCTCCTCAATTATCCTCATGAGGCTGAATAAATACACACACTTTCACCCTAAATATATATTATCACTGCTATTATATAATCTTGGTGTTTTTATTATAACTATTTAATACTTGTTCACTAAATTTGGATTTCAATTCAATAAATACATTTATTCATACAGATTCCTTACATTAAATAACAGAAGAAATGAGCTGCCCAACCACCCCATGATTAAATCAAACCAATCAAATTAATCCAAGATAACCTAAGCAAATTACCTATATTTTATGTTAAGGAATGACTAAACAAGTACATAAAAATGCAAAATAGCTATAAAAGTCTCATTTCAAATTGCAATTACTGTAAAATGGGCAATATCATTTCCTTGAAGCCATGAACAACTTCAATATATTACCAGTGAATACAGCCGAATTAGTTACTTAGAAAAGAAAACATCCAACTTTCAGCCCCCAGGTATGCTCCAGCTTCACACTAAAATTCAATTACATTTCATGGCATAAATATTTGGAACAAATGAAATACTGCGGTTCACAAGGTGGCTAACAGGTCACTTCCAGCTTGTAAATGACTGAGTAAAACTTATGAATTTACAATTCAGCTTTCAAGAACATATCAGATATGATTTAGAACAGCAAAACTGGTGTCCAACTTGTGACTTTGGTATAAATTTTGTTACAAGTGATAAAAAGAATAAAAAAAAGTTGTCCCTGTGCTTAAGCACTACACCATGAAAACAGTCTGGGAATGGAGACAAAACTCTTATGTCATTAAGCTCTGTACTAATGGGGAGGTCAGTGGTCAGCACCATATTCTGGTTGCTTTACCCTTGGAGAAAGTGCTCCAAGTACCCAATGGACAACAGTCTGAGTGGACTGCAGAACCGGGGTGGATATAGTGGATGCAAAGAGAAAAACTGGAGCTACAGCCACAATCAAACCCCAGCTGCCCAGCTTGTAGTCAATTGTATTAGTGACTAAACTATCTCAGCTCATTAGAAGTGACTGAACTTTGTTTAAAAACTGCTAAGAACATCAATTCATCCATCACCACTGTACACATTATAACACAAAACATAAAAGTAGTAGCTCATGGCATAAGGCATGTTCAGCATCATAACGACTCTTAAAGCAGAGAGGCTGACTCTGACATAACACATCAAAACTCCTAAAACTTACTGTCTGCTCTAGAGATGATGCAAGTCAGTAACATGAATGTCATATGATCAAATGTTTGAAAACCTATATGCCTACTTAATCATTTTAAAAAACACTAATGACTTTACACTTAGTGGAATAATCTTAAACTTAATGAACATCGAGTTTAACTTCGCCTCTTATTTAATGTAAATGTAAATCTGCTCATAATCATCTTAGCAAAACAACTCGCAATTATGATAACTATATTGTGACATGATGCCTGAAAGCCGGAACTGTGAAATCAGAGATGTCCATTGCTACGCAACTGCTTGGTAAAAACATTCCCGTGGCAACAAATGCACAAGCAACAATCAAATAACCAACCTCTGTTGCTATGCAACGGCACTGTAAACACTCCTTCTCAACAAGAGAGAGGCTGTATTTTCTGCATGGTCCATGCTGAGGAGTTATAAAAAGGACAAGATTGAGTTAGTTGAGTTTTGAGATGCCAGCCTGCCAGGATATGACCTTGGGCACAGAGGAATAGAATCAAGTCCAGTCTCTGGACATGGAAGTTGGCAGATTAATTGAGATGATGGCAAGAAAGGAATCAGGCTGTGCAAAGAAGACGTAATGTGTGCTGCAGTTACAGTGAGACTGGTATAACTACTGTGTTGGAATATGTTGCCAGGATATGACTAGTGAAGATTGAGAACCCAAGTGTGTGTGTAAAGGTTGTATCACATTATAGGGATGCTCACGCAACGGTTAAAATCCAAACAATGTAAATGTTATAGGATTGATCATACTGGGGTGCACGCCATGCTCACGCGCACTCACAGTGAGCACCGCAATCATCGCCGAGAATATTTTGAGCGTTCAACTCTAAGTGTACCGCGAGCTGAGCGTCTAGTGTGACCAAGACTGCGCGCGAGTCCCGAGCTCAAAGGTTCTGCTTCTCATTTTTCTTTCATTTCACCAGTCAAAGCAAAGCATGGAGGAAGAATTGATTGAACTTGTTCGTGCCAAGCCTGAGCTTTATGATTTAACACACAAATTGTACAGTGATAATGTACGTAAGAAGAAAGTGTGGGAAGAGATCGGAACAGCGTTAAAAAAATCTGGTAACTTTCAATAATCACTTTATTAGCATCAAACAAATACAGTTAGAAATACACTTGTTTAAATCATATTGTGTTGCCAAGGGACGAAACCTTGTTCTGAATTAAAGAATCTTGTGAATATCTCTCTTATTTCAAAAGCTATTATTGAACAATTTCCACCTTGTCTCGATAAGTCCATCAAATTACCTGCCACTATCTGATCATCATTCAAAGGCACTGCAGTCGTTCCTGCGCGAATGAAATTGTGCAAAATGCACGTGGCTAAAACCACCTTTTCAGCATATTTAGGCGCTAATTTCAGTCTTCTGTTGTAAATTCTAAACTTTTGTGTCAGAATTCCATAGGCATTTTCAACAACCCTACGGGCGCGAGACAACCTGTAGTTGAAAATGCGTCTCTCAATACGGTTTTCGACTTGTAGACCAGGGAAGGGCCTGATCAAGTATTTTTTTAATGGAAAGGCCGGATCACCAACAATTATGTATGGAGCCAGTTGTTGTGTTCCCGGCAGCAGTGCATCTTCTGGAATGTCTAGAGTTCCCATTTCTAAACACCTTCCAAGCTTTGAAGTGGAAAATATTCCACCATCACTACTCCGTCCATAAGACCCAATGTCTACTGCTATAAATTTGTAATTAGCATCAACAAGTGCCAATAAAACTATTGAAAATGTTTTCTTGTAATTGAAGTAGAGGGAACCAGAATTTTGAGGAGCCTCTATCACAACATGTTTTCCATCCAAAGATCCTAAACAATTGGGAAACTGCCACTGATCCCAAAATTCTCTTGCAATTCTCTCCCACTCATTTTTTGTTGGAGTAGGCATTACTTCCTGCAACATATTTTTTACAATAGCTTTGCAAACTCCATGAACTGCATTCTGAACCGTACAATACCCTAGTCGAAAACTGAACGCAATGGTTCGAAATGAGTCCCCAGTGGCTAGGAACCTGTGAACAAAACAACAGCCCATTGTGGAATATATATATTTTATATTTATTTACATTACAGGACAATATTTTAATACATTAATATTATTTAGTTATTGAAACATAAATATTAGAGAATTAATATTTTTATATTTATAACTCCACAAATTATATAGGTACTGATAATCAATATTATAAATTTATTATATTCATAAATTTGGTAAAATTTAATATTATATTCGATTTTTTTTTATAATTTAAAAATTGATTATAAATTCAACAACTACTTTAAAATTAATTGTTTTTAGTTTATAAATAAGCCTGTATTTAATATTTTAACAATATAAAAAGCAACGTTTACGATGTGTCAAGAACCATTTTGGTCAACTGCCAGTTAGTTGGCGCTCACACATGTGTATGGGTGAGTGTGTTTTGTGTCTAACTTTTGGTTATATACTCGTATGTCACTTTTGTAATTATCTTCCCTTTCACAGGCGGAGAATGTAAGCACAGGTGGATGAGTTTAAGAAGTCAACACCGAAAAGTTGTTCAGAAATACAACACCTTAAGTGGCCAAGCAGCCGCTAATATTCGTAAATGGAAATTTGAGGATAGCATGTCTTTTTTGATTTCATACATGAGAGACACAGAAGAGCAAAAAGGAAGAAAATGAACAAGATGATACAGAATATGAAGTATCAGTGGAACAGATATCTCCACCTCCAGATTCCCACAGAAAACGTGAACTGTCCAAGTCGGTTTCGATTTCCACACCTAAAGAGAAATGCAACCATTCAAGCAGACCTCAGGAAACAGGATCTGCTACTGTGATGAAATATTTACTCAAAAACAGACAGCAAACTACAGATAAAGATAAAGAAAAGGACTCCTTGGAACTGTTTTTTGAATCTATAGTCAAAACGGTTAAAACTTTTTCTCCTGTCGACCAACACCTAATAAGGAATCAAATTTACAACCTCGTATCTCAGATGGAAGCCAAATATTTAATGCCCCATCCTCCTTCCCCTCAAAGTAATTTTCATAGCACCAACTTAGGAGGTCCATCAGCTGGTTCAGAATTCACATATGTCGGAAATCCGAAAATATCACAGAGCTCCCAACCACCATCACCCATTTCTCCGGCATCCTCTACTGACTCCAATTCTGCTTGCTCTAATTTTTTTTCTAATTTCTCTCCAGAATCATATTGAATAAAATGCTATGAACTCTTCCAGTGCGTAGATATTGTATATGTTTCATTTTTATTATTAAACACATTTTAAAAAGAAGAAACTATTATTTTTCCTTACCTTAAACAAACTGCTAATTTCTCTCTTGGTGAAATAGCTGCGCGAAATGTGGTGTCCTGTTTCTTCAAGTCACTCCCAATTTTCGAAAGCAGTATTTCGAACTGTTCCCTGGACATCCTGAAGTACTGAAAGAATTTAGTTTCATCATCCAGTAACTGTGGAAATAGTGTATGAAACTCCCCCTCCGTTGCTCTACAAAGCAAAGAAGGGTGCACCCATTTTCTTCTTCCTGTAGGTTTCGCTTCATCATCATCTAACAATACCGCAATCAATAGAAGTTCTTCGTCAGAAAAATTCATTTCGTTCACTTCCATCTAAACTCCTGAGCGTCATGGTGTGACTACCTTGGAGCGTGACATGAGCGTAAGTGTCCCGAGAGCGTGAGCGTGGCTTGAGCGATAATGTGATACAAGCTTAATGGTGAACTGTAAAGTGTGTATATCAGTGACAGTACTGTATTATTTTCAGTTACAAGTTGAATGTATAAGGTGTCAATAAATCCAATCATCCAATCCAAAACCTGTCTAATAGTCATGCACCCCCTACCTGTGACAATATCAAAGGGAATGCAGCTCTTAGCAATTTCCAATTACACTGCTATATCAGACATATCAATCTCATAAGGACATTGTTTAAATATACATAGATAAAGCAATAAACACTAGACACTGCTCCCTTTGCATTCACTTAGTTCACAAGTACATCTAATTCATTCTCTTACACAATATTCACTTAACTTCCAAATTCACTGCTCCTTTCTTCACCATTTTCATTACACCCTTTGGATGATCCACAAATCTCCTACTGCAAGATCGTTACATGAACATACGTGATTACTAATGGCTCACTGTCGTGCTACAGCCTCATATAATTTGGGTAATTCTGCTTCTAGTTGGACAACTCGTACTCTGGACTGCAGGTGCCATTTTGAAGTATCTAATGCATGTGATGAACCCTCTGGATTATCAGTTGTGTAGGTAGTCAGGTATGATATGAGTTCTTGTGAACCGTCTTGGTCCAGATCTGCAATCAACACTGTAGAAACAGAGAATGGGTTAAACAGTAAATTACCATGTTATTCTGAAAAAACAGTGGTTATATATTAACACTTTGTGGACCAGCGATTAAATATTTAAATCACCCTGGGGACCGGCATTATTAAACCTGCTATCCTAACATGTGCACTGTTCGTTTTAAAAATTAATATCAAATCTCCTAATTAATTTTATGAACTAAAATTTTTGGAGAACACTTACCAATGTTCCTAGAAGTGCTTGAGAGTGTGATATTTCTCGAAACATTCCCCTTTGTGAAGTAGCATTACACAGAGCTTGCAATGTAGACATATTCCTTTTTTTGTGAACTGTGCAAACACCGCATTGCCGAAAAGGATGCTTCCTCTTGGAATGTTCACTCTTCACAATTTTCACAAGGGTATGTTTCCGCATATCACCTGAGAGTCACCCTGGCGGGTCCACATGAGGCCTGTGTGGGGCGGGAGTTGATGGGCCTGGTCGCACTAAGTCTGTGTCTGACTCTGGTTCTGCCGCCACCATCTGGTCTGTAGCCCAGGACTTTGCCACATTCATCAGAAATGCTTTGTATTTCAATTTCAAATCAGGGTTTAGATTTTTGTGATTTTTTTTTTTAATTTTTTACTGTCCCCGCAATGTTATTACCCCCATTATCGTCAGATCTACTGTCACTTTTACTGTTTGTGGCCACAATTCTTTGTTCTCCCCTGTCACTGCTGTTCTCTGAATCACCATGACTACGTGTCTCACAAGGCAGGTCAGCTGGCTCATCAGAGAAGAATTTGTCCTTGTCCATTCCCCACCACTAACTACTGGCTGATACATACAGCTCAAAGAGCAGCAAAGCATTTTCCTTTATGGTGGGTTAAGAAAACAGCGAGCTCAAGTTACTGACAAGTAAGCAAACATTCCAGAGTTTTATTACACAGTTGCGTGCAACTTGGGTGGCGCCAGAGCAAGGTATAGTGTGTTACAACCTAACGTGTCCTAAAATCATTATATCATGCAACCGGTCCGCCACGTTTAAAAGCCAAAAGCATGATATCATGTGACCAGTCCTCAGTGTGTTGACAGCAAAATACAATCATATTAAGTATATAGTGACATGAATGACAATAGGATTCTTTTGGGAGCTTAACAATTAAAAATACTGAATCAGCATCTATCAAGGAGATAACAGACAAACTGAAGAAACTAAGCCCTCATCATTTCCTCCAGAGACAATATGTGTGTAGTAGCAAAGAGAAATTCCTCTGCTTTGGCTGGAAATCATCCATCAGTCATCCAGCCTATAACTTTACTGTTTCAGGTGGTAACAAGCCAGCTGACATACTGATGTGTAAAGTCATGTAATATTGGCCCTACAATTGTACAAAGTCAACCAGATTTCAGATTAGTATCTTTCAATTTTAACTATTTTGCTGCATATTACTTTCTCACCATTTTCCTAAAGTATTGCAATTTTAAGGTAAAAATAAGAAAAAATATACAACAAAAATATATGTTCATACCCCAGTGAATGAAGTCTAATGACGCAGCAGAAGGAGATCTTCTCTTATGTGTCAATGTCGCAGTATAAGGTGCTTATTTGACTTCAGTCAAACACTGCAGCAATAGGGTCAATAAAGAAAATGTGTGATGTTATGGAAAAGAGAGTTAAGTAAAAATTTTGTCAAAATGAGATAAGCACAGCACAAAATTCTTCTTATTAAAAGGACCAAATAAAAACTGGGTTAGGTATCTAAGCACAATATTTTTCATTCAGTGACATAATGAAATACTGGGTCAAATACATTAATGTATAAACATCTAGAGTTGTTTCTTCTTCCCACTTAAGGGTTCTATGAATTAGAGGAATACAACCATCAACAACAGAGACTACTATAAACCTTACATTTACACATATTATAGTGTTAATGAATGATGTTGTAAACTAATGGTTTTATATGAATAGTATGTTAGTTAATCTATATTGAATTATATGAGTCTATCTGTATAATAGTTTTATTGTATTTATGATAATACTTATTGTCTTTTTATCATTATTTTATTGCTTTATAATTTTGACATGTTCTAATTATTTACTTGAGCTCAACTTATACCTGAACTGTACTTATGATTGTATTGTACTTTTATGTTCTTCTATTTATCTTGACATATTTTAATTAATATTTGACATGTTCTATATCCTATGGTTTGTAACCAGTTTTATTGGATCATCTGGAACTTGAAATAAATTACAATTACAGTTAGACCATAGAATGTGAAAGCATTGGAGCTGCAGCTTAAAATTAAAACTATCCATAATAAAAATATAAAGAGCTATACATACATGACTGCTGTTGGTAGCTGAGGTCTGGCTGGCAAAGCTGATCCGTTTCTGATGGGCCGTGACTGGAGCACAACTGTGTGACATCGTTCAGACTTGCATTCACAATGTGGTTATCGGTAGCGTTGAATGTATAAAGTACCACTCGTTCTTTCAGTTGATGTAAATCCACTTGGACACTGCTCCCATTCCTTACATTTAGTTTCAGAGGTGTGATAACACTACGGCTAAATCTCTCTTTCCCAATATGCATTTCAGCCCACTTTCCATTTCTCACAAATCTTTTCAAACGGTATCGGAACAGGGGATTGCTGAATACTGTGCTCATGGTATTGTTGTCTTTTATCATGGACGAAGACAAGTGACTGTTAGCAGAGGTCCATGTCCAAAATTTCAACACGAACCCACTAACCGGCTCGACGAGAGTTGAAGCTCCAGAACGGCTGTTAAAGACTAGAACAGCAGGTACCATACCATAAGTGTTATCATGCTGGAAATTCCAAACAGTCTCATTATCATGCCGTTCATCTGTTACTTTAACTGAAACATTGCAATGGGTTGGACAGTGCCCTTCATTCACTAGAGTCAGCCAACGACCATTCACTTTCTTGACAGTAGACGATACACCCAGAACTTGATGCTGTTTGAGTGGAGGACTCTGCAGATAGGCAGACATATTCAGCTGCTTGCGTGTGGCATTTGCATACAGTTCCTGCATTGAGATTATTCCAGTGGACACTGCAGAGTAAATATCAAAGTTTCAGTTACTTTCATTGTCTTACATGGAAACAAATTACACATTACATTTGAATTTTAATACATTCATTGAATAAAAGAACAAAAAGAATGTCCTCTTATATCTACCTGTCAATCCACATTCAACTTCCAATATCACTTAACAGATCATCAATAACACATGACTTCTCAGTTTACTTAATGATGTTTTCTCAACAGCATGGATCAAGCAGTGATGACTTGGAGGATGATTACAAAATAATGAAGTGGGAAGGATTTGCAAGCTGCTGTGGTATATTTTAAGGTACCATCTCAACTATGAACTCTTAAGCAGATGAAACAGACATGCAACCTACTCTACAAAGTCTTCAAGGTTTTGCGGTGGCTTCTAACTAATCCTGTTTTCATTCTCAGAAAATGATATAATGGGGTGGTGGACTAGATTGCCGATGTCTCAGAGAAGTTTGTCATCTCTGTGTTCAACATAAAATGACTTATGGCCTGGTACTAATATTTACAGTTCTGCACAGTAAGGCAGTGGGAAACTGCATGGCTACATTTGAATAGAAGTGAGAAAAATGGCTCTACATTTCAATTTCCTGGCCATGTACCTACCTATAAGAATGCCTCGCAACCCACAAATATAAACATCAACACACAGCTGTCATTTACACACATCAGAAACCAACACACTACAGCACATTGTCATCACTGAAGGTAGCCCAATGTGCTCCACATACTAGTTGAAAATTGCAATATGGCACTAACATACAACTTCATATTTTCTCACCTTCTTCTTTATCTGCTTTCTGGCATGTATACACAATGCTCCAGCTCCTGTCCACAGAGAGGCCTTGAATACGAGTACATGAGGCAATACGAACAGCTTGTCCTATGATTTCCCCCATCTTTCCAGAAATCACAATAAAGTTATTGCGATCAGAAACAGTGGCAGATCTCTCAGAAGTACCATTGAAGCTACACACTGTGACCAGCTCTCTCACACCATCTCCATCGAGATCAGGCAGGATAATAGGGAACTCCAGATCAATTGCATTTCTGTTATTGTTACGATGACTGTGGAGGTACCACACTATATTACCTAGAATACATTAAATACAATGAGCGACTACACCCTTGAGACTACGATTTACATGATTTACATTTGCTACCAGTCCACTGTCCAGACATTTGATTGGACTGTAAACTAAGATGATGTCAGGTACCTGACAAGTGATTACAGGGATCTAATACTGTTTATTGTACTACACAGTCCATCAACAATGCAACAAATTGTTCCTTCTTTCTTTCACTTTCACTTTCACTTTCGAGCCAACATGTTTCAGCCCTAAATGGCCATCATCAGGTGTCTTACTATGCTAAAACTGCTACACTGCACTAATATTGTCCATCCGTTGCATATGCGACTGCAGGTTTCATGATTTAAAACGTCATACTCGTAGTCAATTGGTATGCACTAAAATAGCACATACTGTAGTTCACTTAATATAGATCAATAAAATCTAATAAAATTTTGTATTAAAATTTCCTTTAAATTTTGTAAAGTCCTTAATACACCGCACAAGGGTGTGATACATAATTACAGGGACCTGAATAATGCTTTCAACTGCCACATTTAATAGGTACTTTATTATACAAATGTTTTCTAAAAATAAATTAGCACAAGGGCTGATACTGTAAAAGACATAACATGTTTACTTTACAAATACCACCAATTATTTGAGAATTTTCTTTCACATGAAGTTTAATGAGATACACCAAAAAATATGTTTAGGCCTGTACGTGTCACATACTGATTTCATAAAAATCTGTCAAAGGACTCCAAATGTACACAATCATAAGTCTATTTATGTCCTTATATAAAATAAACCCCTGGAATGAATTACATGAATGAAAAATATGATTACATACATTAGAAGTTTCATATATCAAGTTTAATTGAGATCAGTCAAAGAACTTTAAAAAAAAATAAAAAATTTAGTTCTATACAGACTGTCCTTTAAAATGAGCTTTGGTGAACCAAAACCAAAATCTTAGTCAAAACTGTGAAGTATATACATCATCAGATGGGAAGACAAACTGAAAAGGCCATGGAATGAAGTGGACACACTACTTCGGCATTTGCCTGGAGATACTAAGAATAACCCATGAAAACTGTCAATCATGACAGCCTCTGGGCCAATTATCAAACATGGAACATTCAAAATATGAATGTTAACAGCTCAGCTGTAACATTAGTCTTTGTGTTCAAATAAAAACACAACCACCTTTACTTCTCTGAAATCACTTTCCATTTTCAGAGACTGTATTAGCAACATGAAACAGTGACTAATTTCAGACATTCAGACACATCTGAAGGCTAAAATTGTTAGAAAACATTACAGCACATAAAAAAGCACATTTACAAATTAACACAATTCAGCATACCTGGTACAGGATCAACAGCCACCAGAAGTTTGCCAGTCCCCACCACAATACAATCCTCTGCTCCATCTCCTGTGACATCTATAAGTGAGCAATCCATAGCATGGGGAGTTCTATGAAAGTGAATATACCAGGCAACTTCACCAGTAGACCCAATCAGTGATACGAGTCCACCTCCACTTGCAGGGAAGTCCCTCAAATCCTCATCTGTTTGGCCGGCATTGATAACATCACCTCGTGCAAGGAATACCAAATTTCGACCTCGACCTGGGACTCCAGCCACCACACTAATTCCTCCCTTAAGCTCTGTGAAATAACCATAAATTCTATTTCTTTCACACATATCAGTGATTGCATCTGTCTGAATCTCAATACATCATGCCATGTACATCTGACAAGTACGCAACTATATTTTATGACTTAACATGTAATTTGTATTCACTATATTTCTTCTTATACTGTACTTCATTGTTGAGTGAACATTGGACCAAATTTCTGGAGAGTTGTTTATCTCAGTTTAAACAAATATAATCAACTTTATTGCAAAACACGTTTAATTCATAATAATTATTACAGTCATCTCAAAATTCCAAAACATAACTATATTCTACAAATAAACTAATTTCATGGAGCTGAGCCCTTCCTTACAAGCCATCAATTGTGTAGCCACTCAAAAACTTCCCAGCAATTTAAAGAACCTGAAGTTCTATTACTGTGTTCACAAGAGTCCTCCACTGTCCAAGATCCATTTAAATATTACCTACCCACCCACCTCTTGGTCTTCCTAGTGGTCTCTTTCCTTCTGGCCTTCCCACCAATATCCTATTTGCAATCCTCTTCTCCCCATTCGTTTACATGCCCTACCCATCTCATCCTCCTTGACTTGATCATTCTAATTATACTCAGAGAAGAGTACAAGTCATGAAGCTCCTCATTATGCAATTTTCTCAAACCTCCCACCTCATCAGCTCTCTTTGGTGCAAATATTCTCCTCAGCACCCAATTCTCAAACACCCTCAGTCTGTGTATCTCCCTTAATGTCAGAGACCAAGTTTCATACCCATACTGAACCACAGACAAAATTAATTTTTTTATATTCTAATTCAACAAACAATTCTAAATATTTCAAAATTTAAATATCTGGGTAAGGTAAAATAAAGTTGTCCATGCTTAATTAAGCAACATGCCTTGATGATGTGTGGGGGAGGGGATCTACAGCTCCATGTGTTCTTAACCTCAGCACTACCAGGAGGTGAGCAATCAACTGTATGCTCCTGCTAATTTACTACTGGGAAAGGAACCCTGGGTACCCACTGGACAGGAGGCTGGGTGAGCATCAGAGCCAGTCTGCACTTGGCAGAGAAAAGAGAAACATCTCTGTCCGTCAGGAATCAAACGCTAATCATCCAAATTACTACACTGCCCTGGCTCCAATCTAAATATCAAAAGAAAACATTATCAAACAAAAATTAAGTTTACAATAAGAATAAGGAAAAAACAATTTCAGAACATGCTTGTTACTATTCAGTCAAAAAAACTGTTACAATATGTACTTTCCAGAACAATGAAGACTATGATATACAAGGTGGTTCAAATATGACCGGGACTGATTTTTTTGTAAACAAGCCGCACTGCGCAGCAGCTGTGCGACCTTGAGAGAGTGAAGCCACAACCTCCACCCTCCCTCCTGTTAGGGTTAGAACCTGTTCAGTCCTGTCTGGAAGTTGCTAGAGTGATGAGTGAACAGAAGGTACCGCGAAGCATGGAACAATGCATTGTGATCAAATTCCTCATTGGAGAAAACGTCCCGTCCGCTGAAATTCACCACAGACTCCAACAACAATATGGGGAAGAATGTCTCTCACGGACCCGTGTGTTTGAGTGGTGTAAGTGCTTCAGAGAGGGCAGAGAGCACGTGGAGAATGAACCGCATGATCGTCGGCCATGAACATCCGTCACCAAGCCAAACATTGATCGTGCAGACGCACTTATTCGTGAGAATAGGCGCATCACTATCAAGGAACTTGGAGCAATGCTGTCCATCAGTGTTGGTGTGTAGAAGACATCATGAAATACCACTTGCACTATCGCAAGGTGAATGTACGGTGGGTACCACGCACTTTGACAGATGTGAACAAAATGGTGCACATGCACGTTGCCAGTCATCTCCTACAGCAGTTTGAAGATGAAGGTGATGCATTTTTGAAGTCTACAGTGACCACCGATGAAACGTGGGTGCACTACTTCATTCCCGAGTCCCAGCAATCATCACGCAAGTGGTGGCATACAAGTTCTCCCAAACCCAAGAAAGTGCGGAGGAGCCATTCAGCAAGAAAAGTGATGGCAACGTTCTTCTTGGATTGGCAGGGGGTTATCCATATAGACTTTCTGACAGATGGCCAGAACAGTCAATGCAGCTTATTACTCAGACCTCCTGGCAACAGACGTGAAGGAAAAGATCCAATCCAAGCGGAAGAGAGGTGGAAAGCAGGTATCCTTCCTTCAAGACAATGCACGCCCCCATACGGCCAAAACAATGGAAACCCTCCAGAAATTGAAATGGAACCTTCTGACACATCCGCCGTACAGTCCCAATTTGGTACCAAGTGATTTCTACCTGTTCAGAAGGCTCAAATCAGACTTGCAAGGCATGCAGTTTGTTGACAACAACGCCGTCATCCAGAATGTTCGGGAGTGGATACGTCGCCAACCACAAAACTTTTCTGAAAAGGTCATCAGGATGATTCCAGAATGTTGGAAAAAATGTGTTGACTCCAGAGGGGAGTACATTGAAGACTGAGATGTGCAAGTAAGTTTGGCAATTTTGGTTTAAAAAAAAAATCAGTCCCACTCATATTTGAACCACCTTGTACATAATACAATAATTTTACCAGCTGTTTTTATGGTTGTGAAATGTAACATCTTACCTTAAGAGAAAAACATTTGAAGTATGAGTATATGAAAGTACACTAGTAGAAATATTTGGCCCTAAGAGGAATGAAATCAGTGGGTGACATAGGAACTTAAATAACAAGGAACTCATGATCTATACAGATCACCTGTAATTGTCAGGGTCTAGAACAGAGGTTATGATGGACTGGACAAGATGATAAACAAATCAAATTTTGGTTATAAAACGTCTTATAAATTTGTCACTTTCAAGAGTGAGGAGATGGAAATGGATGGAACTGGTGCAGAATTATACCCAACAACAGACTGAAGTATCAGTGATACTGTTCTAATACCAAAAATTAGCTAAGAAGTTAGGATATTTCATGTGACTACAGTGACAAGTAGGATATAGTATCCCTTAAAAAATATAGAACATTACAGTGTCAATTATGATACAGTTCCCTTAACCTTTATCGGACGGGCCATTTAATTTCCGGTAGGGGCAGCTGGACGGAGTTTATTTAAATGCCCGCCCTTCTAGAGCAATGAAATTGTAAGCATGTTTCTAAAAATGGTGTGATTTCTACATTTTTTATGATAAACGAACGAAATGAATGCTCCTTTAATGTAGAAAGAATATAGAATCAGATATTCTAATTTACAGATTTTAATATCTGTAAAAAAATTTTACACTGATTCCCAAAATAAAATTTCCCGAAATTCATACATTTTCTGCACCATGCGTTCTAGCAGTGTAATACATTTTCTGCACCATGCGTTTTAGCAGTGTAAGTCCTTGTGGCAACTTCACATTCAATGGTATCTCTTGTTGTAGCTTATTTATCGTATGGGACATGTCGCTATGCACGACTGTAGGCGTCTGAAATTCCTCGCTGCCTAATGTGTTAGATAAACACAGAAGTTAATTCTCGGAATATGGTGTTGCCAGATCGGTCATTCGTTCATTCATTGCAGTCAAACCATTGTGTTTGTAACGATTTTGAAACATCGCAATATAAGGTTAGCCACCCATGACATCATGAAGCAGATATTGGGTTC